ATATATACATATTCTTATTTACACAAAGAAGCATTAAGTACACAGAAAGAGGATATCAATCAATCACAGGCTAAAGAGATTTTCTTTCCAGAAAAAGATACTGGTTATCAGTTAGGCCCATTAGCCTATCATTTTGTGAGGTTGGGGTTGGGGGTGGGAAGCAAGGTCTGGTTTGGGTTAGACTTGGCAGTGAAAGGACACACTTTCTCTCCTCCTTCTTCTCCTTAAGGGAGAGGGAACACAGCGAGAATACACTTTTTGGAACAGGCCATGTCCCTTAGGAGACCAGCAGGCCAGGGAGGGGAAGGCCAATGTTACCAAGGCTTTTAAACCTCTCATAAGCCTGCAGTTGGACCTCCTCATGCAGGCTACAGGGACCCCCATGGCTCCTGAACTTACACTGCACAGCATAGAGCTGAAGGAGCACAGTTCAAGGATGAGAGTTTCATCTCTCAAACTCTTCACAACTGAAAAGAATTGCAGCACATATGAATGGATCAGAAAAGGCCTAAAGTTTAGCTGTCAGTACCATGTCCCAGGCATTGTGCAGGAGGCCCTAAGTACACCGTCTCCTGTATCTTCCTGGTTGCTTGATTTATCACGCTCATGTTACAGATGAGGAAACTAGAGGGCAGGTGACCAGCCCCATCATCTTGTAGCTGACGGCTCAGAGTTCCTGAATCAGAGCTTGGCCACCTATCATTGGATTCCTGCCTCCCTCTCTGCTCACTGACTTGGTGTCCAGTGAAAGAGAACAGTCAAAAAATGGGCTACAAGGAAGCTTCAAGTCTTCCAAAGAAACTCAGGCTCTCCGAGGGAAAACAAACCTGAGCCTACCGTGGAAGCCACCTGCATACTTGCCCGGCATCAGCACACTCAAGCTCCACATCCTGCAGACTTCTTCCCGGATGTTTCCCTGCAGAGGACCTGCTGAAGGCGGTAGGTATTTTTCCTGCTTACTTGGCGCTGACCTAGACCAGGAGCGCTCAGAGCCCCAACACCTAGACCTGGGTACTGATCCTGGCTCGGCCCCCGCCCTAAGGAAGGCTTCTTCTGGCAAGCCTCGGTATCACGGGTTTGACAGGTCCCCTACTGTCACCAATATGCGTGGTTGCTACCCTTGCTACCCGGTGGCCACAGAACCCACTGCGTCCCAGTCGGCTGTGCATGCCTCCTGCTAACAGCCCGAGAGTGCTGGGGCTCCTGACGAGGGCCAGCCAAAACCTGGGCCCGGAGAACTGAGGGAGCCTCCGAAATAGAACAGCTCCTGGCCCCTGGTCTCCATACAGAGTCGAGGTCAGGCCTCAGGCGCAGCAGCCAAAGCTTGTGTTTAGCGGATTTGGTTTCTACCCGGAAGGTGGGAGTGGGCGTGGGGGTGGGGTGGCGTCTGGCGCGGAGAGGTGAAATCCTAGGCCTGCGAGGTGCTGCCGTCGACACTTGGCCGCCAGCCTTCGGGGTGCTCACCTCGTGCCCAAGTCTCTCGCCACAGCGCGGGCGGGGATAGTAGAGTCGAGCGCCCTCCGAGAGATGCGGGAGGGCAAAGACTGGGCGCGATCGAGTGGCTCCGCGTGGCCGCACCCCTTACCTCCTTGGTGCACTGTTCCTCTGGGGGCTGCAGGTCCCGGAAGCAGACCCCCGCCGCTCCGCTGATCCCAGGCATCTCGGCTGCAGCGCCGGGAGTGCGGATGCGTCGAATGTCAGGGGCTCAGCTGCGGACTCTGCCCTCGGGCGGCAGGAGGCCCGCCTCGGCCAGGCTCTGCTTGGACCTTCACGTGACGGGGCCGACCGAGACAGCTTGCTGCAGCCAGGAGGGCAGAGGACGGTCTGCTTTGGACTGCGGGCTCTAGCGTTCCGGCGCCTTCCTCGCCTGGCCTCCCCGCCGCCCTTCAGAGTCGGGGGCGGGGAAGTCGATCCCGCAGGGCGGGGAGCGGGAAGTGCGAGAGGCCGGCGGTGGGAGTCAGAGGCCCAAGGGCCACAGGGGAAAGATCTTGGGATTGAAGCAGCGGGGGTTTAGAGGCCACGGTGGAAAATGATACCAACTCTGTGCCATTGGGCGTGTGATTGTGTCTAGCTTTCTACATCTGTAAAAACAGGAATAATACCTATACCTTCCTCCTAGGATTGTTTTGAGAATTTAGCGAACTAATTTACGTGCAGTGCCTGCACTACTGGCGTGTGCCCAGTAACTTGATTCCCTCCAAGTTCTAGTGGAGCCACAGACCAGCTGGCTGTGGGCTCAAGCGTGAGGACCCTGGGGGTTGAGGAGCTGGAAAACAGAGCTACCTTCAGAGCAAACAGCGAGGACTTATTCCACTCCTTCAGTGCTCCCCTGGTTGCTACCCGACTTGATGCTCAGGGTTGGCAAATCTGCAGAAACCAGAATTCGACACTTTAATGAGGCTCTTCCTGATTTTTAAAGTGCAGTCATGGATTTAATAATAATAGTAATAATAAATATTTGCAGGCCAACTCTTACATGGCAGTCCTGGGTTCCTATTCCAACCACCTTCACTGACACCTCCCAGAGAATGAAGAGACCTGGAGGGACCTCTGGCCCTGGTCACCCAGCTGAAGGTGTGGTGTCCCTCTGGGTGGTTCATCGGGGCTTGATGCCAAGTACTGATGACAAGCAAGGTCGAGTTCAGGAACTGTGACAAGCAGAATTGTGGTCTTCCAAATGATTCCACACCCTAATCCCCAGGACTGTGAATTGGTTACTTGCACTCCAAAAGAGACTGTGCAGACAATAATTAAGTTTACAAAATCAGTTGACCTTAAAATAAGGAGATTATTCTGGGTTCACCATCTAGGTGGGCCCAATGAAGTCACATGAGCCCTTAAAAGCAGAACTGGAAGGCAGGAAGGGAAGTCAGAGATAGTCAAAGTGTGGGAAGGATTCACTATGTTGAGTTGTGATGCTGCTGCCTTGAAGATGGAGGGGAACTGCAAGGAATTGAATTCTGCCATCAACCTGAACAAACTTGGAAGCCAGTTATTCCCCAGAAAGGAGCACAGCCCTGTCAACAGTTATATTTCAGTCATAGAGACCCTAAGCAAAGAATCCAGCCATGATTTCTGACCTACAAACTGTGAGATAATGAATGTATTTTATTTGAAGCCCTTAAGTTTGTGGCACTTAGTTATGCATCAATAGCTAACTAATACAAGACACTGGCTTGCATTTCAATTCCAGACTTGTGTTCTAGCCTGGAATCTGGCTTGGACTGAGTGGCACTGTCTTAGTGGGGAAGGCTAGGCACTAAATCTGCCCCATCCCCTTTTGGTTCTTCCCACTCAGCTCTAACAGCACATATCCCATGAGACCGTCTTTCTCATTTTCTGTAGGCCGATGGATTGCTTCCTCTCTGTGGTCCCCTCAGTCTTCATGAAAAAGAACCTCATGGTGCATCAATCCATCTTTTTGTGTATGTCATCCCACCCCACTGTACCACAAGCACCTGTGAAAAGAGGGGGACAGGAAATCTTTATCTTTGAATCCATAGCTCCTAGCTCAGAGAAGAGATATGCTAAAGAGAAATGCCTATCAGCTTGTAACTAAAGATCTGTATCTACCACCCACTGCCATCAAATTGATTCTGACTCACAGTGACTCCCATTAGGTTTCCAAGGTAGTAAATCTTTACAGAAGTAGATTGCCCACTCTTCCTTCCAAGGAGCAGCTAGTGGGTTTGAACCAACCTTCTGGTTAGCAGTCACATGCCTTAGGCACTGCACCACCAGAGCTCTACAGAGTATCTGAAATAATCACTTGCTATACTGCCTAAGGCATATGACTGCTAACCAGAAGTCTGGTGGTTCAAACCCACCAGCTGTTCCTCGGAAGGAAGATTGGGCAATCTACGTCTGTAATGATTCCGCTTCAGAAACCCAAAAAGGGGTTGCTAGGAGTCTGATCCGGCTTGACGGCAGTGAGTTATCACTATTAATTATGTAGGTTACTGTCATGGATTAAATTGTGTCCCCCTAAAGTATGTGTCAATTTGGCTAGGCCATGATTCCCAGTCATTTGTCAGTTATGGAATGAAGCAATTTGGCAGGTATGTAATGATGTAATCATCCTCTGTGATGTAATCTGATATGATCAACCAATCAGTTGTAAAGGGATTAGTGTGGGATGCAACACCCTTACTCGGGTTACAGCCCTGATCTGATGTAAGGGGAATTTCCTTGGAGTATGGCCTGCATCACCTTTTATCTTACAAAAGTTAAAAGGAGAGAGAAGCAAGCAGAAAAAAGAGGGACCTCAGAACCACCAAGAAAGAAGAGCCAGAAGCAGAGCACATCCGTTGGACCCAGGGTCCCTGTGCTGAGAACCTCCTAGACCCAGGGGAAGATTAATGCCAAGACACAAGGAGATCTCCAAGGAACACCAGGGTCACAGATGTTGAAAGGAGACAAGGACCTTACCTGAGAGACACAGCCTTCTCCTACACCTGGTGCTCTGAATTCAGACTTCTAGTCTCCTAAACTGTGAGAGAATAAACTTCTATTTGTTAAAACCACTTGTGGTATTTCTGTTACAGCAGCACTAGATAACTGAGACAGTTACCATAAAAACTCTCTCGGCCTCTTTGGGGAAAAATACAAATATTCTATTTCTATTATAAGTGGTGACATATGAAACAGTTGTTTATGTCAGGGTCTTTCAAAATGGCTCTTCTAGGAGCCCTGGTAGTGCTGTGGTTAAAGCATTAGGCTGCTAATCTAAAGGTTGGTGGTTTGAACCCACCAACTGCTTTGTGGAAGAAAGACGAGGAAATCTGCTTCTGTGAGATTTATAGCCTTGGAAACCCTGAGGGGGTCACTATGAGTTGGAATCAACCTGATGGCAGTGGATTTGGGTTCTTCTTTTCTCTAAATAAATAAATAAATACACACATACATACATACACACACATATAAATATATATGTTGTTGTTGTTGTTGTTGTTATGTGCCATCGATATATATATGCATATATATGTGTGTCTCTCTCTCTCTCTATATATATATATATATACATATATATATATATACATATATATATGTAAATGTGCACTGTGCTCATTGTAAAGAGTTGAAGCAATTAATCAAAGATAACCATTGTTTCTGGTGAACATCCTTCTCCATATCTGTCTTTACACTCAAACACACATGTATATAGTTTGGCACAAATGGGATTCCATACTACACTGCAGACACTGCTGACCCCTGATTACTACTATCCACACCTTACCCTTCAGAAACCCGGACACAAGTTAAGTATCCACCTCATCTTCCTCTAGAGGAGGGTGTTCTCCTGTCAACTGTTACTGTTCTAAGGGAAGTATATGACTTATGTTGGTTCAGCCTGACTTAAAAGAAGCTATGTTCCAAGCTTAGGGACTTCTTTTCTCTCTTCCCCCTCACCCTTCCCTTTCTCCCATGGATGTAAATAAAACACTGGCACAACCTTGCAACTAGCCTTGGGTCAAGATGGCAGAGTAGAGAGGTATAAAGCAACCAGCTCTCTGATGGCCTCAGAGAAAGACTGCTTTTGGGTACCTCCCTCCCTAGACTTGTCTGACCTCTGAACTTGAAATTATGTGAGTAATATTATACAGTCCAGGAGGCAGAAAGAGCCATATCAATAAGGCTGATAGGAAGAGATCAGCAAGATAGTAAATAGGGGTGGGAGGATGAACAGAATCTTGTATGTGTAAAAATTTTTAAAGGATGCATGTACCTATATTTTCTGATAAATGCATACAGTATTTTTCTGAAAAGATACATAAGTGTGACTGTTAAGTTTATCTGTCAACTTATTTGGGTCATGATTCTCAGTGTTTCAGCAGTTAACGTAATAGTTTGGCAGTTATGAAATGATGTAATCATTCTCCATTTTGTAAACTGGTATAATTGTCTTCTATTTTGAGGTATTGTGTTTGTTAATGCTAACTTTTCATGTGACAATGAGGATTAGAATGGGGTACATCTTGAGTCATAAGCCTTACTAAAATGCATGACTCAAGTTACCACCTTTATTCAAGTCATACTCTTGACCACTTTATCTGATGTAAGGGCATTTCCTTAAGGGCATGACCTGCATCTAATACATATGGACACTCTGGCAAAGTTCTTTTGGGTCTGGATCTTTGGCTTTGCAGACAGCACCTCATCATCTAACCTCCAGTTCTTGGCACATGAGCCAGCAGCCTGCCATCTCTGGGATTTGCCAGCTTCTGCAGCAGCTGAGGGAGGCCAGGAAGGAAGTGAGTCAGGGTGTGGTTTTGGGATGGTTGAGGGAGGCCAGGAAGTGAGCAGAGCAGTTTGGAACAACAAGGGAGAAAAAACTGTCAATTTATCATCCTGTGGTGGCTTGCATGTTGTTGTGAGGCTGGAGGCTATGCCACTGGTGTTTCAAATGCCAGCAGGGTTACTCATGGTGGATAGGTTTCAGCAGAGCTTCCAGACTTAGACTCAGAAGGAAGAGGCCATCCACTTCTCAAAGAATTGGCCAGTGGAAACCTTATGAATAGCAATGAACCATTGTCTGATATATTACTGGAAAACATTATGAATAGCCTTGAAACACTGTCCAATTTAATGCCAGAAGTTGAGCCCCTCAGGTCAGAAGGCACTCAATATACAACTGAGGAAGAGCTGCCTCCTCAAAGTAGA